ATTAGCTCTGTAACTTTTACCAAACAAAAAAATGCACCTGCAACTGCCATCTAAGCACCAAACAAGCAAATAAGAACAATAGTAATTATAGTATTTACGGTGATTGGTAATTGATGGTAATCTCCTGAGCAACACACATATATCCAGCTCAACCACTGGGCTGGATATGTTTACTTAAAATGGGAAAATAATATTAATAAATATAATAATAATAAATTCCCCATAATCTCTACTGTTTTTTGTTGGGTGATATCTGTTTCTCATTTAATTCAATACACTCGTCCTCATTGTACATTCTACAAACTGCGATGTGGTAGACTATTACAAAGGCTGGTACAACTCATTATTGTAGAGACAAACGCTCACAAGGTGCTGAGTGTCACACACTTCACTTAATGTGTCTGTTGTCGTGAATAGACAGTGCAGTCAATGTTTATTGGGCAATTTAAGCTTCCTAGCCTGCGTATTTTCATCCTAAGAATAAAATTGCTTATACATATAATAGGTTCACAACTAAGTATGCATTATACAGCAGCGTCGGCAGTGAAGACTACTAATTCACTGAACCTTGGTAGGAAGTAGGCAAAGTTCCAACTTATTGATAGCGTATTATTTTCAGGATTCTTTGTGTATAATAAACTATACATTTTCTGTAAATGTTTCTCAAAATTGAGAATGTGGTTATAACTGTTATTTTTCAGACGTGTAAGATTCCACACTTAGCATGATGCTTGTATTTTATACAAATAATTTATAGACTCTCGCTTGAGCAGTTGCTGTATAGGACCATGTAGGTAATTAATGTATAAGCCTCTTAAATCTGCAGTGTAAAGATCAGATATTTGAAATAAATTAAACTGTGTTTCTGCATTGGAATTGGAAAATGTGTTTGTAAATTGCAAGAGAAGCTTTCAAAAGAAAATAACTGTAAAATGTAAGGCACTTCCCAGATAAGTAATTATTTTTTGAATTGTGCCAAATTCATAGCACACATTTTAAGCACATTATTTTTGTCACTTTAACAAAGCTGTCTGATTAAGTGTTGTCCTAAAAGAGATCCTGGGCCAATTAGATGTTAAAAAATGGGGGAAAAGAAGATGGGCTCACAGGCAAAGAACTATCTGCAGATTTGTTTCCATGCCAGCTCTAACAGACGGAAAGAGAGGGGTGGAAAAGGAGGGGATTTGAGAGGGGAGGGGTAGTGGGAGACTGCCTTCTTTTTCATCCAGAGCTCTCATCAGAACCTTAAAAGTGAATTTGAGGTCAGTCAGTGTGCATGCTAAAAAAACTGCAGTTTGTGTCACTGCAGACCAGAGATTCTGTCAGGAAGTTGACGTATCTGCCCTTTTCTTTCCTTGATTTTAGGAGAATTTGTGCAGTAAACCAGCAATGTGGTGATGGAACTACCATTAGAATGAGCAGCTGAAGATTTCTTTTTGTAGCATGGCTAAATTAGTTATGAATTTTTATAAATTTATGAGAATTAATACCCAGTTATGAATTATAATATTCAGAAAATATCAAAATTCAATCTTAAAAGCTCTCGTTAAAAGGGCACCACCGGAGTTGTTATAATCCTAGAGTCTCCGGACCTCTAGGTAGCTTTTAATAACTATACAATTATTAATAGTGATCAGTTAGTTAATAATTGCTAAATTATCTTAAAATCAATCAGTCAGTCTCATATCTAAAGGATCAATTCTCTTGGCAGGGACGTGGAAATAGGAAACACACACAGTTCTTGATTATATTACAGTGAATTTATTCTCTAACTAATGCGATATAAAGGGTGGTTAAATACAGGGAAAATAAACAATGGCTGAACAATGAGAAATGGAGGTTTAATTGTGGGAAGCATTTGACTCATACGGCAGAGGAGAACTAATGAAAGTAAGCTATGAGTTTAGGAGTTAAAAGGAAATATTCTGACCACAGAATGTTTGTTAGGTCTTACGACGGCCTGCTTTGGCCTGTTGCACGGGTCCCATGCTAGCTGCCCGATCCTGGCTTTTTGCCAGGGATTCTCCGGGGTTCTCCGTGTCTGAAGAAAACGCCGTCCTCCGTCTGGCAATTCGGCTGTTTTCAGGTTTCCTTCGTTGCCACTGGCGAGGCTTGGTCTGACCTCGGTGAAGTTGGCTCGACGAAAAAGCTTAAAATGGAACTTGGTCGTTCCTGAATTAGTCCAGTGTAACTTAACGGACTGATAACTTTAACAAAACAAAAGAAAGAAAGAAAATAAAACAAACTGAGGGGCAGATCGATGTCGCGGCACTTCGCGTGTGTAGCTTCAAGCGAACAAAGGCCTGTTGCGCTGGTAGGACTCTTAGGTGTTGCCCGGAGAGGCACGCCGGACGCGTGCCGAAGCGTCCAGAGAGCAGAGCGGAAGACCAGGGCATGAGGGGAGGAGAAGAGCAGAGAGAGAGAACAACGTCACGTGTCGCTCTTTTGTTGCCTGGGGCGTGGTTTCCCAGAGGGCGTTTCAGGTTTCCCGAGGGGCTGCCTTTCTAAACTTAACGTCTAAAAGAAAAGAAAATCTATTTGCGCGTATTATAATCAAATATTTTCCAAGTCAAAGTCAAACCTCAATGGTCAAACAGTTGTGCCGTTCTAAGTTAAGCATTTGGTAACAGGAAACAATTGTCACATTATTATTATACATTATTTGTCAGGATATTTATACATTAACGGCATTTCCAGCGATGGTATGTAATACTTATTTCGTCCACTTGGGGGAGCTCAGGTTACATGAGGAAAGCTTAGATTAATCCAAGACCATCTCTCCTTAGGCAGTGGGAGATTTAGTTATCCAGCCTTAAATTCAAGCTGGCGATTAAGAGTATAGTATGACATTTCTTTATCATCATTTCTAAAGGAATTTTGTGAGAAAGTATTGTGAACAAGTATTGGTTACACATTAGATGAAGGAGTGTCCTTAATCTTTCTAAAAATAAAAACACTGCAAAAGTAACTTATTTAGATTCTTTTCAGCACTAATATCAACAACAGATAGCAACAACATGGTAACATAACTACTCAAATAGAGGCAAATGTAATCAAGTAACTAAAAGATTTAATTAAACTTAATTAAATGCTTTGAGTCTTTGGAGACTGCAGTCTTTGGTTATTTAAAGTTCGGCTTGCTGGGTTATGTCACACTTAGGTGAGAAAAGGAGTATCCCTTTGATGGGGTAATGAAACATAGAGCAAGGTCAGTTGCCAGGGTTACATGCGTGGGGGGGCAGTTTTGATAGGCTGTTCAGGGAAATGCTAATCGCTGGTTAGTGTCCCTTTTGTCAGTTTAACAGTCAGGCACCGCGTTATCAGCTTCGTAGATCAAAAAGGTGCCAGTTTTATGGTCAGGGATAGCACTTAGAGAAAGCAACTTTTCCACCCCCCTTCCATTGGGGTCTATTCAGCAGTCTGTTGAAAGTTGATCTTTAACCCCCCTGCTCCTCTCTGGGAGAGGAAAAGAGGGATTTGGAGTAGCTCCAAATTTATTTAATAAAATGCACAAATCCACACCGTTGTCCCACTACATTTTCCTCACAGCCAAAAATGCGTAAAGATTGTATTTGAACAGGTGCTGAGTTTACGTTTGGCTGCAAATCAACAAAATGACAATATGTATCTCTGAAAGGCATAAACCAATTATCTTAAAGCAATTCTAACAAAGTCCCCCCTGTTTGTTTAAATGAAGACTTTCATTAGTGAATTGAGGCAGTGCAATCTAAAGAGTAGAGGGCCGCTGTAACCCCTAAGGTTTTCCTTGGGAGGACTATCACCGAATGTGATGCATGTTAATCTCCATGTCCTCAATTATGTGTGGGCCTCTGTCAGTACATATTGTTTGTTCAAAGTCAAGGTGACTTTCTTTTACCGTGCTTCAGTCCTTTGTGTTGCACGGAGAAACAGGGGGAGAATGAGGAATGGGGTAAAATAGAAAGATGAGCAAAGGAGTAAACACTGAGACAGGTGTCTGGCAAGGGACAATGATTAGATTTATAAACCAACCAATATTATTTTCTCAGCTTGGTGACTGCTGTAATACATTAAATGCTAACTGAAGCTCCCAGTGTCCCACCGCAGAGACGCTTTTCACTCCATCTGCCTCCTTGGAATCCCAAACATCCTCTCCTGTAGTCCCTCACATTCCTCCCTACCTCAACTCAGCATCTCTCCTTCTCTTTCTTGCTTTCCCTCGGGTGCGATTAGATTCTATCCCTTGTGTCCGACTAAGATGGATTGGCCTTGAAAGCATCCTTTCGGCTTCCTTCACCATCCTTGCGTTTTCTCCTCCTCGGTCAGGGGTGTGTCAAACCCCCCTCCACCTCCTTGTTGGCTGGAACACAACATCCAATATTTTCTCCAGCTGGAGTGGAACTGAGCACATTAGGGATGGGTCTGTTAAGGTGATCATCTTGCTCGCGTGATGCCCAGGGACCATTTTTCTTCATTTGAGAGCGTCTGTCTTGCTGCCAATACTATAGATTTTTTATCAGCTCCTAAATCATGGCTCCATGATTGGGAAAGTGATTGGTCGGGCTCCCTGATATGAAAACTCCAGTATCAATTTCATGTCTGTCAGGGCACATAGCCTGGGTTATTAGACGGGCCATTTAAACAGTTATACGAAATGTTCCTTGCTACAACCCCAACAACTTCCCCACTGGAGCAGGCTCGGCTTTATTTTGCATGCATACTCTGGCTGCAAAATCTGTCAAAAAAAGAAATCGCCACAGTGCAAGCTTCTATGTCCTGATTCAACTTTTTAGTCAAACAGCTTTATCATTCCACAACCTGTTCAAGGCTGGAAATAAGCTTATTAGGTTGGGAGAGTTTGGAGGGGGGGTTGGGGATAACATGAAGATGATTTTTTTTTCAGGTCCACGGAGGGGTAGTAGTCAGAGGAAATGATCATTTAACAGAACAGACTTTTTATTCAAAAGATTAAATGAAGAGGCTAACACTCTGTAACTCTCTTCCTGTCTGTCTCCCTCTAGGTCATCTGATGGTGTGTGCACAGCGGGAACTGTGGTGGTGAGTCGTCTGAAGATGGGGGAGATGGAGGAGGTTGACATAGACCACATCACCACCGACATACCGTCACAGAAGGTAAAATAGCTGGGTGAGGATACAAAGCAGGAGTCTCCATGCTCCAGATGCCCAGCGCTAATGCTAGGATTAGACTGGCACTGCTCAAGTCCTCCAATGAGATTAAATAAACTTCAGTAAACCCTAATGGGGATTTAGAGGATGTGTGTGCATGTAATGTCTGTGTCTGTGAGTACATTTGTGTTGTCTCTCTGTCATATATAGAAGAGATTAAAGCAAGACTGACCAAATTAGCATTCTGACATACTTGCACTTGACTCTTTGGACTTGGGATTGTGTAGCCTGTCCTGCAACCCTCCCTCCTCTGACCAAGTGGAAGATATTTCCTGAATGTGGCACCACCCCTTCTGCACTCTAATCTCATACAATACATACCGCTTAACTCGGCTCGGAAGTGACTCACGTAATCAGGGGAGAGAAAGAGGAAGAAAGAGTATTCTACTTCAGAGTTTGACAATAAACTGAAGATTGTGTCATCCAAATGGGGTGCCACGGCAGCAGAAATGAAGTTGTATGTACTCTGATTTCACTTAATCTTCTGTACATTCCTAATGGAGCCCGGTTTGTTGAACATTTGTCAAGGGAATGTGTTCCGTAGAACCAGAGTCGGGCATTAAAAAAGAGCTGTGTGTGTGTGTGTGTGTGTGTGTGTGTGTGTGTGTGTGTGTGTGTGTGTGTGTGTGTGTGTGTGTGAATTAGTGTCTTATATAATTGCCCATGGCTACATGGCTGACTGGCTTTTGCTTCTGCCCACCACTGTAGCTGGTGCAGGGAGGTTCCCTGCTGGGCTCCAGAGTGTCACTGACAATCTGCCCATGTCGCCTTGATGGATGTGTTGCTGTGTGTGTGTGTGTGTGAGAGTGCACTTACCAACCTATCTAACAGTGGACCTCGACGTCGTTACACACCCACTAAGAGGGGACTAAAAAGTGAACAGGGGACATTTTTTAGGTCCCCTGTTGGACATGCTTTAAATCATGCTAAAATCATGTCTAAAACCATCTGGTAAATTTTTTAAACTATTGTCAAGAGGGGACCTGCAGGTGTGTGAGTGTTTAAGTCCATACTCAGCAGTGCCTCTAGTGGATCAAGCAAAGATTTTAACGACTCATTCACACACGTCGTTCTTAACACTCCCCTATTGAGTGAATGGCTTGCAGCACCAGGGAGTCTATCAGACTGTAGAGGGGCTATTATACAAGCTACTCAGTAAAGAAAGCTGTCACTTGAAACACAATTTTTAATTTTTTCTAACAAAATATACAGGCTGAGTTTTAGTGGATGTCTTGTGTTTTAAGATCAACATGTATTAAAATACAGGGCTACACTGAAGGCCTGGAGAATTTTAGATTCTAAATAAGGGAACAAAATAGAAAAACAGCCAGGGTAGAATTATAAATAAAATGGTCAGTATAAAGATACTTTTATGGTTTTAATTCATTATAAAAAATGAATGAATTAATAAAAAATTATTTGACATTTGTTATCTAGAGATTTTAACTTGTTCAGTCGCAAAATACTAACCTGACCAGATTTCACAAGCACTGGACATCAATACTTTTTTTCCCCCCATTATATTTGTGTGCTTAGTCTACACTTAAAGATATGCATTTCATTTATTGATTTGAATTGTACTGTGTGGAACGACAGGAGTCCACTGTTCGCTTGTAGATGATGACACAAGTTCCCTCTTAGATAGCATGGAGCGATAATCACACTCCAACTTGTGTGAAAATAATAAATAAGCAAATTTAATCATACTTTTGAGACAAAATAAACTAACTAAATAGTCTCTTTATTTTCTATACATTCTTTTGAAACAAAATATAAAGACTGAGTTTTAGTGGATGTCTTGTGTTTTAAGATCAACATGTATTAAAATAAAGGGCTACACTGAAGGCCAGGAGAGTAAAATGAATTGTAGATTCTAAAAACCGGAACAAAAATAGAAAAACAACCAGGGTAGAATTAGAAATAAAATGGTCAGTATAAAGATACTTTCTTTACGGTTTTAATTAATTATAAAAAAAATGTATTAATTAATAAAAAAATATTTGACATTTGACATCTAGAGCTTTAAACTTGTTCTGTCCCAAAATACTAACCTGGCCAGCTTTCACAAGCACTGGACATCAATAAAAAAAATTTCATTATATTTGTGTGCTTAGTCTACACTTAAAGATATGCATTTCATTTATTGATTTGAATTACAGAAAAAGGGACCACACTTGTACTGTGTGGAACGACAGGAGTCCACTGTTCGCTTGTAGATGATGACACAAGTTCCCTCTTAGATAGCATGGAGCGATAATCACACTCCAACTTGTGTGAAAATAATAAATAAGCAAATTTAGTCATACTTTTGAGACAAAATAAACTAACTAAATAGTCTCTTTATTTTCTATACATTCTTTTAAAACAAAATATAAAGGCTGAGTTTTAGTGGATGTCTTGTGTTTTAAGATCAACATGTATTAAAATAAAGGGCTACACTGAAGGCCTGGAGAGTAAAATGGATTTTAGATTCCAAAAAAAGGAACAAAAATAGAAAAACAACCAGAGTTGAATTATAAATTAAATGATTAGAGGTAAGATACTTTCTATTCAGTTTTAATTAATTGTTAAAAAGTATTTCACATCAGACTTTGACTACAGCTTTAAACTTGTTCAGTCCTAAAACACTAAACTGACCAGTTTTCACAACCACTGAATGTCAATACATTTTGTCATCATATCTATGTGCTTAGTCTACACTTACAGAAATGCATTTTATTTATTGATTTGAATTACAGAAAAAGGGACCACACTTGTACTGTGTGGAACGACAGGAGTCCACTGTTCTCTTGTACATGATGACACAAGTTCCCTCTTAGATAGCATGGAGCGATAATCACACTCCAACTTGTGAGAAAAAAATAAATAAGCAAATTTAATCATACTTATGAGAAGAAACTAACTACAGAGTGTCTTTATTTGGTATAATCTGTTATTGTAAGAAAATATAAAGCCTGAGTTTTTATTGAAGTTATTTTCAACAAAATACAAAGGTTGAGTTTTAGTGAAATTCCTAAATTGTTTCAAGCTTCAGACTACTAAAATGATAGACTACCCAGTAGACAGCAGAATGAGTATTTTAAAAGCACAAAAAGTGAAAGTAAAAACAAAATGAATACAAAGGTCAGCTGCAAGATCTCTTCATTTTTAATCAATGGATTTAATGCTGTTAATTATCATGATACATGACCAGTGTTTGTATGTGTCCTAAATCTATATTTAGGAAGTTGTTGCTCGCAAACACATTGACAACAGACCTGTCTGTCAATTGAATAGTTAGTTTCCTAAACACCGCTGCACAAATCTATCCAACACAATGTTGTCAATGTCGGAGACCCACCTTCAAAAAAGTTATCAGCAAGCATGTAAGGAGCCTAGCTAATAAGGATAGCTATGTTAGTTTTGAATACAGCTGTCAAAGTTAGAACGCTGTGCATAACTGGTAGTCAGTAGGTGTGGCCGAGATGAGCTACTTTTGTACAGTTGAAATCACATCATGTCGAAACTAAAGTGTGAAATGTTGAAAAGGTTAGTTTAGCTACAAATGAACAAGTTCATATGTGCGTGTTTAGGTTTTATGATGTGGTAATTAAGGGGCTAAATGAAGCCTGTCTCTGAAAAATTGAAAATCTTTCTAAAATGCTTCGGCAGTACATTTGTTCTTAGCCTTAGAGAAAGGTCCACAGAGACATTCAGACACACTTTACAAATAATATGAAATAAGCAAAATGGACAATTCGAAAATTATAATCTAAACCAAATATATAAGCTGTAGTGTTGTTGTTTTGTTTTTTAGAAAAGTGTCACCAGCAATGTTCTCATTGTAGCTTTTTGAAATGTGGGGTTAAACATTTGTTGGCGAATAGAGAAGCATATTTGAGGGCTGTCAAATGGTGCAGCATCGTAACAATGGAACTTAGAGTTTGCATCAACTGGAGAACACACAACCAGTGCTGCATTAAGTTCACACTGATATTTGGCAGGTATTTGTCTTTATAGATTTTTACATCTCATATTTTCAACTTCTTTCTTTAGCATGTACAGTTTAAATGTGTGTTAGTGATTTTAATAGCCATTGAAATAGTGATGAGTTACCTATAGATCATCTCAGAACCATCACAACGTTGGATGGCTATTCATAACACAAGTTGTTCAACCACAAATAGAAAACAGTACAAAATATACAGAACTATGTTGAAGCAAACTTTATTGAATGTGCTTTTAAGCTAAGACACACACAAACTCCTAAACTGAAAGTTCCTCATGTGCCCACCCTCTTCTGTGTTCTTACACTGAACAAAATTATAAACGCAACACTTTTGTTTTTGCCCCAATTCCTCCGGTGAGTATGCTGGCCATGCAAGAAATGGGATGTTTTCAGCTTCCAGGAATTGTAATCCTTGCAACATAGGGCCGTGCATTATCATGCTGCAACATGAGGTGATGGTTGTGGATGAATGGCACAACAATGGGCCTCTGGATCTCGTCATGGTATCTCTATGCATTCAAAATGCCATCAATAAAATGCACCTGTGTTTGTTGTCCATGAAACACGCCTGCCCATACCATAACCCCACCGCCACCATGGGCCACTCGATCCACAACTAGGACATCAACAAACCGCTCACCCACACGAAGCCATACACACGTCATCTGCTCTGCACAGTGAAAACTGGGATTCATCCATGAAGAGAACACCTCTCCAAAGTGCCAGACGCCATCGTATGTGAGCATTTGCCCACTCAAGTCGGTTATGATGGCAAACTGCAGTCAGGTCGAGACCCCAAAGAGGATGACGAGCATGCAGATGAGATTCCCTGAGATGGTTCCTGACAGTTTGTGCAGAAATTATTTGAGGATGCTAAACGATTCTTGCAGCAGCTGTCCGGCTGGCTGGTCTCAGACAATCTTGGTGGTGAAGATGCTGGATGTGGAGGTCCTGGGCT